CCGGCCCCCGGGCCCCCCGCCGCAGGTAGGCACCGCGCCGGTCCCCGCGGCGGCGGGACGGAGGTCGGTTTGGTCCGCGGAGGGGGGGCAAGCGGGGAGGGGTCGCCCACGGGCGAGCGTGGCGGGGCCGCAGGTGTGCGGGGTTGGCTTCTCCCGGCCGCTCTCCCCCGGGGGGACCGGTGGGGAAGGCGGGCCCCGGCGGGGAGGGAAAGTTTTCCCGAGGGCGGCGGCGGGTCGGTCGGTTGGTCCGTCCGTCCGTCCGTCGGTCGGTCGGTCCCGGGGCTGGGCCAGCCCGGCGAGCCGTGCCGTGGTGCGGGGAGGGTTTGGTTTGTGATGGCCGCGAAGGGATCCGTGCGGGCGGGCGGGCGGTGGAGTTCTCCCGCAGCGCGGAGGGGAAAGGCAAAGTATTTTTGTTTGGAGAACCTCCGGCAAACCGCATGTCATTTGTCATATCTGATTTATTACCCGCAGGATCACATTACAGGGGAATTTCAAATCCTGTAACAACATCCAAGATCACATACTTTAAAAGGAAATATGTGGAAGAAGAGGATTTTCATCCACCGCTCAGCAGCTGTACACATAAAGTATGTTTTCTAATAGTCATTATTTTTACTCTGACTTTTCAGATGCTTAGTAACACTCGATTGACCCATTTCCAGAAGGCTGAAATACTCTGCTGAAATTAGGGGAATGATCCAGCTGTTTGCTCAGAAACAAATTGTTGTCACTTGTTCACATTTATTGTTTTATTGTCATCAAATTGCTTAAGAAGCAAAGGCGTTTCTTCATTTATAACAACTGTAAATGGAAATGCTGAGAATAACTTTTTTTTTTCCCCCAGATTATTTTGTTCTTAGCTAGTTTATATCATGCTTACAGAAACAGCTCCGTAACAGTGTTTGAACAGCAGAATCGAAGAACATAAATAAAATGGGCCCGTGATTCCCCACTTCATTCAAAACTTTTTCCAGGGGAGAAAATACTAATAGGTTCCGTGTACCCCAAGCAGGTTACAGATCCTCTTGAAAAACAGAATGATTTGGAAAGCGAATACAAGCTCCTTCAGTATTTAATCCTGTTTATTAAAAAGCTAATAACTCCAAAAGAACAGATTAGTAAATGAAAGAATATTTTTTTTTAATGAAAGCTGTCAAGGGAGGGATTAGAGCAAACATTTACCAGGCCAGTGAATACACAAATTGAAATCTAACTTTTTTTTTTTTTTCTTTAATGAGAGATTTAGTGCTCTTGTTCATTAAGGGCTGGGTCCTGTAGGGAATTGAATGCCTGGAGTGATGTGCTTAAGGGTAGCTCATGCCTTGAGACATCATTCTTACTTTTCCGGGTCGTACCTGGCCCATGGCAGTCCAGTGCTACCTGTGTACTATTGGTGATAGAGAGGACACGATATAATCTCATTAAAGCACAGCTTACGGGAGGCACAAAACCCATATAGAACCACAAAACCTTATAGCACCACAAAAAAACCCAGAGACAGAAAGCTAAAACAGATCAAGATGCAGAGCAAGTTTCTACATTGTGTTTACCTGCATGGCAGAGGCAACCTTCTGAGGTGTGAGGAGAACCGAGTGCCTCGTCCCTCCCAGGGACACTGGGCAGGGAGGTTTGCCCAGTGGGACCCTGATTCCCTGGAGGAATTTCTGTAGAGGAGAAGTGAGCAGTAGTGCCGAGCTCGGTTCCCAAGGACCTCAGAGTGGCAGAAGGAATTTTCAGCTACAAATAGTGTTGGCTGGAAGTAAGTACCTGACCGGGAAGGTGGAAAACTGTCTCACCATTAATTGCAGAAGGTGTCCGGTCTGCTGCCAGAACAATGGATAAATAGCACCAAGGGTGTTGAAAAATGTGCTCTGGTTAGTGAATGTGTCTCCCACATATCACATCACTCTCTGACTTCAGCCAGTTTTTTTTCTTGGCTAGATTGTTGGATTTTTGTGTCAGTGATTGTTTTCCTCGCAAAGAGGAGGAATGGTTACTTATCCCTTTCTAACGGCGTAAAACCCAGCTGTAGAGGTATTGGTAAGATAGACCTGTCCTAGACATCATTTTGTGCTCTCGTAGGGGTGTGTCATGTCAGAAACCCTGGGTCACCAGTTTCTTCTGTTCTGCACTAACGTGTTTTGTAGTTTGCAGCACTGAGCTCCGGGGGAGGGAGGATCCAAGTTTCTTTGAATTTCTTACACATTTTTATACCTGTGCTGCCCGTAAAGAGTGAGTTATATTCCGAGAGTCCTTGTCCTGTAAAGGGTATGATGACAGGGCCCAGAGCCCCTCTCCAGGGCTGTTGGCAAACATTTGTAACAGTAGAACGCCTTTGACAACTTGTTCCTACTGGTGGCCCTCCAGGATGATCATGGTTCAAGGCTTACTGGTTTGCTCCAGGCTTTTTTGGGTTCACTGACTATTGCTGCGGCAGGTATAAAGGACGCAGACTAACCTATAGGCTTAATATAATTTAAAATGAGTCATTTATTATAGAAAATTACTCCCTTTAATGAAGAAGAGCTTCAGCTGTGAAATCGCATGAAAACAGGACCAATTTGGGTTTTTACGAGGCACTGTGCTGCTTCTAAGCCCTGCAGACAGGACCAGGCTGTGGAAAGAGCTAGAGGGCTGAGGAGAGCTGAATGGATGTGAAAAGCAGCTGTGCTTTATGCTCCTTCAGTCCTCATAGCTACGACTTCCACCCTGCAAAAATGCTGTAACCATGTGGGAAAGGGAAGAATGATCAAGCCACAGATGGGGGGGGGGGGGATTTAGAGCAATCTCTCTTTGTGCTGTGCTGTTCCCCTCCTACGCAAACCAAATTCTTACTAAAAATGAAAATTAGTTAATAGTGCTTACAGTAGCATGCGTTGCCCCTCTCTCTTATTTTGATTCCCAGGGTAGTGATTACAGCGCAGAATCCGGGGCCTCCCGGGGGCAGTAACCTGCCCGTGCTGCCAGTGCTGAGAAAGGGAGTCCTGGAAGGACCATGGAAGGGAGAACAAATCTGTGGGCGCCGAGCCAGAGTTTCTGCAAATCCCTATCCTCTCTTCGTTTCCTGACCTTGTCCCTGCCTATCTGTGTTCCCACCGGTCCCATAGAGCGCAGGGTGTAGTACGCAGGCCAACAGCTGCTCTCCAGATGCTGCGATGCTTTGAGATGGGTTTCTCCCTCCCTCCCTGCACTTCTGTACACAAGAGCAGTGTAAGGGAGCTTGGCAAATGGAGGCCTCCTCGCTGGAGGGCCTCTTCCACTGGCAGTGGATGAAATGCTCCGACACTTGCTGCGATGGCTGCTGGCTGCGTCCTGCAGACCTTGAGGCTGCAGGAGGGGGACCTTTGCTTGGGTTCAGAGCTTTGTAGAAGCCCCACGGGGGATGGAATTGGGTCCATTTACATCAAAAAGCCCCCAGCCTTCACTGGAGCAAAACTGCATAACACTTTTATGTTTTAAACCCAAATGCAAATAAAGAGCCAGATGTGTGCATCTGGATTTCGCTCTCCCATCCTGGAGTCGTGCCCTGCAATTGCCTCCGTAGTGTGACGCTCAGCTACTTATCTCCTGAACCTGGCTGAATTCTCTGGTCAAGAAAAAGCAGGTTCCCAGCTACACGGGTGTGCAAAATGAAAAGCCAGCTTCAGGTGCCTCAGAAAGAGAATGAGAAAAGTAGTGGCACCAGGGGAACACCTTGCTTCTTTTTCTTTCTGCTTGCCTGGAACAAAACCATTTGCCTTCAGTTCCATGTCTTCTGTCTTTTGCATTTTCAGACAATCTCTGTGTTTGAGGAGCGGGCCCATATTCTATACATGTCTTTGGAAAAGCTGAAATTCATTGATGACCCTGAAGTCTACCTGCGGAGATCTGTCCTCATCAACAACCTAATGAAGAGAATCCATGGGGAAATCATCATGCAGAACAACTGGTGCTTCTCCGCCTGCTCCTTTGGTGGCACATCCCCACAAGAGTGGTTCGTGCCTCAGGACTGTCCATACAGAAAACGCCTTCGGATGGCGAAGGAGGAGTACGAGAAGCTCCACACGTGCTGCTTCTATCAAGAGTGTGGCAGTCACTATTTAAATTTACCCTACTCTGTTAATGCTAGTACAGAAAATACTTCCTCCTCTTCCTCTTCTTCCTCCTCCTCCCCCGTTTCTATGCCAAGCTGTTCCCAGCAGGTGGATTATGACATTGGCAGCGCCCCTTCTTACAGGAGTGATGACCAGATACCTGCTAATGAAGTGTTCATCACTAATGCCAGGTCTCACGGTAATCAGGAAAAGGCAAAATTTAATGACGAGAAAGGAGGTAATGAACCCGAGCAAGAGAGTGTCGCCCTAAACTGTGAACCTGTAAGAGGCACCCACGCTCTCGAATGCAAAGGCAAATTTTATGACTGTTTTTACTTTGGATGTAATGACAAGAGCAACATCAACATAAGTGAATCTTGGAAAAAATCCTTAAGGAAAAAGGAGTCTTTACCAAGTAATAAAATGTGCTGCAGCAAAGGAAGTAAAATATGAGGCATCTTTCTTGCTCTGTTGAAGCATGCGCAGCATGTTTGTTTGTCTATCAAATTTTTATTTTGAATGGATTTTTTATAGTTTTCTACAAATGACACGATCATGCCACAAACATTACGTGTAGTTTGAAATGACTGGAGAGCAGATTGTGTAAAGCGTCTCTGTGATCTGCATCAGCGGGCTATTTATAAATACGGAGACTTCATAAAGAACACAGTTGCGTTACTGCTTAGCACCATAGTCTGTACAGCTCTGGTGTAGCTTTCCTTACTGAAAATACCAATCAGCCAGATGGGGAAAACATATCGTTTTATATATCCCCGCCCCCAAGAAGTCTGCCATTAATTAAGAAGAACCTCCATTATGTTTACCGAGGAATTAGAAGTCTGGTAAACAAATTGATGCTACCAGCAAGGGTGATGTGCTCCTTGTAACTCAGTGTTTGTTCTGACAAAGGACTGTCTTCGTGGACTGGGAATAAACCATCCTTACGTTTTATACTGATACTTGTGAATTCCTGGATTCAGCATCTTGTTCAACTGACAAAATAGGACATAGCATAAAGAAATAACCTGTTTATGGGATCTTAATCAGAAACACAACATGCCGCTCAAGTACTTGCACGTTTTCACCTTGGCTGTAGTAACTAATGAGGCTTGTTGTTACACAGGGCAGGTTTTTTTTGGTGCCTTACTTTTTGTCTTAATTTTTGCCAGCGTGAAAATTAAGTATAAATCAGTGATACAGCAGGGATTTAACCTAAACAGAGAAAAAAAAAAAAAACCAACAACCACAGGTTGGATCAATATTATTAAAAACCTTTAACCTTTGAAGTACTGAGTTCAACTTCCTATTCAAACATCTCTGTTCTTCCTTTTTGATGCTCAATTGCTTTTTGATTTGCCATCCTTAGGAAGGGATTTAAGAAACAATAGAGAGATGTCTCTTGTAAACAAGCATTCGATGCTTGAGTGTTTCTATGGCAACTGTCTGTTGCTGGGGCTCTCTTTTTTCCTTCTTCGTATAATGAAGTTCATGAACCAGTGGCATGTTTTATACTTTATTCTGTTTCGCATAATTTCTCTCTTTTAGATTGCAAAAGCATGCAGGAATTTTTCTATGACTTTTGCTGTTGATTTAAAGAAGACAAGCAAAGAAAGCTAAAAGCACAATGTTAATTGATAATGTGGCGATAAACACAATTTTATCTGAATGAATGTAAGGGGTTTAATTTTTAAAAAGAACATTTTGGAGAAATGAGCTGAGATTTCGGTGGCTAATGACAACGTTTAGTCATCTCTAGGTAGGCCGTTTGCAAAAGTGTGCTGCTTAAAATGCCCAGAAGACATTAGTCAGGGTTGGACTGAGAGTATTGTGAGTCTTAGATCCACCAAATTAATTAGTTCCCACAGTCATCATAACAACTGGCAGGGTGTGCTCGGTGAAATAGCCACATCCAAGCCACGGCTGACTCATAATAGCTGCCTGTTCCCACAGCATCGTGCATCCAAGTGACATCTTCTCCACTTGGTTCTTGTCCAAAGGGTGAAATTCACCTCTGCGCTGGGGAAACAGCCAGCTCGGTGCAGGGTACGAGGGTCCCCGGGGGTGGACACCGCCCTGGGCTGTGCCTGGCTCGGTGCTGGAGTCAGCCGGGTCTCTGGGTCAGAGACCTCCTGCTCTGGGTTTCCTGGGTTCAGCCTGAGTCCTCCTGGACCACGGTTATTTTGGGTAGCGTCCACACCCCACAGTCCTGTTGGCAAACTGGACAGATTTTGTGACTAAGCCCAGTGGTCACAGGACAAAACTTCACCCTCCACTCCAGCCCAAATGACCACAAAGAGAGTATCTAGGACATAGATCAATGATAACCTTTATGTGGTCAGGTGAGTTGGAACTGACAAGTTTGTAAGGGTTATCTTTGTGAAGAACGACAAAGAAAGAAAGTATAAATCCCACCTGATTTCTCCAAGACAGAAACTTTTTTTATTAATAATAATATTAAATATAGATCTCATTCATACAGTGTATGAGTAGGATCATAATTTAGACATTTGTCCACAAGGACCAATTTTTTAAAAAAACTGATTTTTCTTGTGTTATACCCAGATAGTCTAGTAATGTCTGCTCTTTTCCAATATTTGATAAACACTTGATGTTTTAAGCTTAAATATTAGATGCTTGTATACTAATGTGTTGTTGTAGTAAAGTGAAATTTCCTTGATATATATTTATTAAAATGACCAAAATTCATTTTAATTTTACATCTCCAATGGCTACTGGATCCTTTCCCCCATGTTCCCCTCCCTCACCCAAGGAAATGCCATTTAATCAAACTGCTCCCTGCTGAAGAAGTCAGGCTGCAGCTGACTGTGCACCTCAAGTTTGAACCCAGGACGGAACTCAGCCTTCTTGGGTTTCCAGGAGGCTTTAGGATGGTCTGAAGGTGTACTGAGAAGCAACAGATTTCTCTGTGGATTTGCATGTACAGCCAAGGATAACACCTGGCCAAATGCTGCCCAAGCCACAGATCAGCTAGCACTTTTGGGGGGCTGAAAGCTTTTTGACCCCAAGGGGTTCCTTGGTCTTCAAGAGCAAGCCCACACATATAACCCTTTGCAGAGTCTTCTGAGTTGGATTTGCATCAGCTGAAGCATTGGATCAGCAGAACTCTGCCTACTCTGGCTGCTCTAACAGCTTCCAGGGACACCTAGAAATTAAGCCATTACATCTCTGGACAGTTTTATTGAGTGTCATCAGGGTCTGTAAGGGGTGAAATGTCGTCTAATTTATGAAGGCTGGCCTAAGGGTAAGTGCTCTTTTCTGCCTTTCTCCAGACCCTGCCTCACAAAATAATGGCAAACGGTGAAAGTAGATGTATTAGACTCAGGAGTCAGCTAAGTCATCCTGTTTGCTTCGGAAGAGACAGAGGTATTTCATGTTAGAAAAGGGAGGTGGAAACACCCTTGTCCAATTGCCAGAAATGCAATAGACCTTGATAGGATTTCCAAGCTGGGCTGGACTGAATGGGTTTAATGGTTTAAGTTTGTTTTGATTTATGGCATGTGGAGAGTGTAAACCTGATAGGCCTTTTCCCGTGTTGCACACTCCAGTACTGAGGACATTATGCTAGTATCACAATTTTTCAAGAACTAGTTCTTTTCTAAGATTATACTAATGCCTTTCATTCCTATGTCCCACGCATAACTGCTAAGTGAGTGCTCCTGAACCTGATCCTGATCTACCTGCCTGGAAGAACTGGACAGAAGGCCTTCTCTCTAGGGAGATTGTTTTACTCTTTATCATAAGATACTTTGCTCCTAGAGTGTAAGACTGTAAAGTACTGTGCCTTTCAGCAGGCTAATCCCTGCTTATAACGGTACTTCAATAATACATGGAAAACAGTAACAGAAAAAGATGTTTCTCCTGTCAGGTCTATTTTATTGTCACTGAGAACAGAGGTGTCATTTTATCTTCAGGATGGCTTTCCACCAGCTAATACATTTCCCTTGGCAATGCACAGTTCATTTCAGTTGAAAAAAATCATGCTCCTTTTTCAAAACACGCAGCATAATATCATTGTGCTTCATATCTACTTAATACTTTTGGTAAAAATTTCACTATTTTTACTGGATTAGCTAAACTGTTGAAACAGCTTAACACGACGGTTACTTAAGCGTTCCCAGCACTCAAATAGCCTCAGCTGGCACCGATTTGCAATGCCAGCGTAGCAGCTGGCTCCACAGAGAAAACAAACGCAGGCTGAGCCGCAGAAATGAAGTGCTTCTTTCAGCCCTGAAGGTGTTACACCCCAAAGCAAAGCTTGTGGTAAAGAGATGTTTTTCAAATTTCTTCTTCCTGTGCGCCCTCCATCCTCCGTTTACCTCTCTCATCTACCGACTCCCCTGTCACTGAAGACCACAACGCGCCGGCGGAGCGGTACGCTGGCTGCCACCACCCTTCGGGTTTGCGCAGGGGAAGCGGGGAGCTGGTTCAGAGGTCTGATCTACAGGGGAATTTAAACAAACTAGCCAGGGTGCAGCATGTCTGCCTCCTTTGTGGCCCCCCTGGAAGCCCGTGCCATTTGTGACCCACCCAGGTAAATAGCCTTTCCAGCTGCCAGTAGCTCAGGTTGCCACAGTGGTAGTGATTTGGTGATTAAAGGGCTATGGCTGAAGCAGGGACGTGAAGGTGATTTCTAGTCTGGGTTTGACTCGTGCCCTTTCAGTGCCTTCTTGAGATAAAGGCTCTAGCCAGAGGTGTAGCAAATGCAATAGCTGCTTACTCATGCCAGGAACCTTGATAAAAGAAGTTTCTTAAGTTTTATCACAAAAAGAGCTAGCCAGTCACATCAGAGAAAGGTTTAAACTGCTGTGGGGTAAAGGAATTCATCTGGCGTTTTATTCAGTGAGCATAACTCCCACCTGGAAGCCTCCCAGAGGGACCTAACCTTTCTCATTGCTAACCCCTTGCTTTGCAACCTCGAAGAAAGGGGCTGCCCTCGCTTTCTGAAGGTAACCTCTTGGGCTCCTCAGTACTGGTGTGAGTTTTTCTGCAGCTGCACGAAGCACCCCAGAGGCTTTTCCTGGCAGGGCGTGCAGAGCCTGCTAAAAGATCGCAGCCAGGGAAGCGCTGCAAAGGATCTTGCTGGAAATGTTGGGAGATGTGAATCTTCCACAAGGCATCCCATGTAACAGCCAAGCCGCTCAGTCACGACTACTTGGAATACACAGTAATTTCCTGTGTTTTTTCAATCTCACTTTAACTTCTCTGACAGATGGGGAAGGATGACTAAACCCAGGGAGTTTACAAAAGTTCGTCTTGTGGTGTTTGCAAACTGTCTCTGTGAGGTCCATTTTCTCTAATGTAAACACAGCCGTGGCAGGGTGCCGAGAGCCTTCCCAGCAGTTAATCCTGCTCAGATTAAGGCTGCTAACGCGAGGTGTACCCTGCCGGCCCCGCACCGGGGAACTGAGGCCTGGGGCTGAGGGGCGTTGGGATGAGACCTTCACTCCTCTTGGCTCTTCACGGAGCTGTAAGACCAGGCTCAATTTCCCATTCTGGGTCAGTGGCTTTCCGTGTCAAGGGGCCCAGAGTCAGGTGTGGAAGGTTAGATTAAACTCCAAGGGAGTAATCATGTGTAAATGGTTGCATCTGGGGCTGTGGTTGGCCTGTTGTTGCTCTCCGTAGTCTTTAAGTCAGAGCAAGGAGGTGAGTGCACTATGGGGAAAGGTGGTCTCTCAGTTCCTCAGCTTTGCAAAAGTGGTGCAAACTGCAAGGTGTGCAAAGCTTTCTCACCAGATCCAGCTGAAAGGCGAGGTAGGTAAGTAGGTTAACTTCTTTTAATCTCTGTGTTCAAGTGTCCCTCTGAGGAATGCAGGGGGTGTGAGGAGAAGTCACAGATAGGTGGTCTGTGTATGCTCAGAAGCATGTACCTGAGCAAAAAAAAAACCCCAAGACCAACAAAACTCTCAAAATGTGGAGATACTGAATACTAAAAAGAACTTTTTTTCCATGGCTAGTAATTCTTCTCAATGAATACTGCATCATTCTCCAATTTACTGCAGAGAGTGTCTAATTGGTCATACTGGGGTTGCAGAAAGGAGATGAATGGTCTGGCTGCTTGAGGTCAGTCCATTTAGTGCTGCCTCCTGTAGCAGTGCTTCTCCCTTCCCGTACCACGGGTTGTGTCAGCCTCCTGAAACAGCTAGAAGCTCTGGCCATTGCGAAGGAGGGTGATGTGGTAGCAGTGGTCGGTGGCTGTGCCTCCTCCATGAGAAGCTAGCCTGTAGCCATCATGGCTGCACATCTCCAGCAAGCTCAGAGGGACCCTACAATGTTGCTTCTGCTGTGAGCTGTGGCTGGTGTCAAATGCTCTCTGGCAGTTTGCTGGCTGATGTTTCGGAGATGTTTTGCAGCTAGATGATGGGCTATCAGACCCTTGGCTGTGTGAGATGATGCTGTACCATTGATTTTTGGGGAAGTTGTGCCTGGTGGTATCAACTGACCACCCTCTCCTTTGGTTATTGTTGTTTTGGTTTTTTCCTACATCCATTGCTCTTTCAGGGTGAAATCCTCTGTACTTATTTCTGTGACAGGCTCCATTTACCAGCCACATTCTCTTAGTTGTACAGCTGCCATGGGGCCATTTATTCTTTTCGATAAAGTAGTGTGATTTTGGATCAAAATGCAATTGCTCTTTATATTACAAATCATCTGACAGTGAACACACGTGAAGTGTTGCTATCCCGTAAGTGTAATATACTTGCAATACTATGTTTTTCCCAAATTTATCTCCTGTGCGTCTCAACAAGTATGACCAAAGCGACCTGCGTTTCTCGATTTCTATTACTATTATAATTTTTATTATCCTGAATATATAGTTTGACTAATTTTTAAGTGTTGATCAGCCCACATGTTACCTGCAGAGGCTGAATATGTATTACTCCTTCTTTGACCCCTTTCTCTGCATGACAGATTGAATTCTGGTTTACCAGCAGACTAGTTAGTGTAATAGTGGCAAGTTTCATTTTCTGTTTGCTATGAGAAGTAATGTGTACAGTGTTAATGGAGTCCCAGAGTGTACCTTTGTTGCAGAATTGCTCCAAGATTGAAATTTTAAAATAACCTGTGTAGTCATCACAGTCATGAAGAAAATCTTAAAATATGAATAGGGCATAAGCTACTGTCAGATCCTTTTCCTTATTCTGCACACAGGCTGAGACAAGGATTTTTATTGCATGAATTTATACACCCGTTGGAAGCGCCCATTTGCTAATTCTGAGGCTTAAAGATGACAGTTTAATGTCAGCTTTTGAGGTATTTCACTAGTGACCATTATGAATAAGGCATTCAGCTAACAAGATGCCCCACATTCCCAGTGGTCTTCTGAGCCCCTCAGGCTGCCAGTGGCCCCCACTAGTCCCTTTCCAGCTGCCAAAGCTCCTTTTTCCCTTTGAATATTTCCATGTGCTATCAATAAAATATTTTCCTAGGCTCTAGAAACACAGGGATAAGACAAACTCTCTTTTAACTGGATAGCAACATAAATAATAGAAAGGCAACAGGGCCGATAATTTCATTCTTTTAATTTTGAATATATGAAACCTTTATTATTACTATTATTACTTGGGAACTTTATTGAAATAATGCAACCACAGCTTTTTCTGGCTGTCATGAATCTGACACCCGCTCACTAAAAATCTTTCATGATCACATAGTGCTACCCTGGTGGGTGCCAAAATCAGAACCTCGGCAGA